AGGAAATTCACAAATACCCACCCCCAGAAGAGAGCAACCCACCCACCCCCAAACCCTCCAGAATCCCTGGCCAAAATGGCCTGATGCTGTCCGATGGCCATCTAGCCTCTGCTTGAAAACCTCCCAAGAAGGAGATCCCCCCACCTCCCGAGGAAGCCTGTTCCACCGAGGAACCACTCTGACTGTCAGGAAGTTCTTCCTCATGTTTCGCCGAAAACTCTTCTGGTTTAATTTCAACCCGTTGGTTCTGGTCTGACCTTCTTGGGCAACAGAAAACCACTCCACACCATCCTCTATATGACAGCCCTTCGAATACTTGAAGGTGGTTATCATATCACCTCTCAGTCATTTCCTCTCCAGGCTAAACGTGCCCAGCTCCTTCAACCTTTCCTCATATCACCATCGTCATTGCCCTCCTCTGGACATGTTCTAGCTTGTCTATATCTTTCTTAAATTGTGGTGCCCAAAACTGAACACAATACTCTAGATGAGGGCTAACCATAGCAGAGTAAAGCGATACCATCACTTTGCATGATCTGGACACTATACTTCTGTTGATATAGGCCAAAATGGCATTTGCCTTTTTAGCTACCACATCACACTGTTGACTCATGTTCAGTGTATGGTCTACTAAGACCCCTACATCCTTTTTGCACATACTGCTGCCAAGACAAGTCTCCCCCATCTCATAATTATGCATTTGATTTTCTTCTGCCTAAATGCAGAACTTTACATTTATCCCCATTGAAATTAATTTTATCTGTTTTAGCCCAGTTTTCCAGCCTGTCAGGGTCATCCTGTATCCTGACTCTGTCTTCCCAATTTAGTGTCATCTGCAAATTTAATAAGCATTCCCTCTATTCCTTCATCCAAATCATTGATAAAGATCCTGAACAAAACAGGTCCCAGGACAGATCCTTGAGACACTCCACTTGTCACTCCTGTCCAAGAGGAGGAGGAACCCAAGTGAGCTTGAGAAGCATTCTGCTGGTCATAGAAATCTAGTGCAGAAAGAATGCACCGAATAGCAAATAAAAACCAAAGTGAAACATTTTGCTCAAAGCTTTGTTTTTTAGACAGTGATGATCAAGAATCAAGGCAAGTTTAACTCATACATCCCTATCAGGGCATTTCTTTTTTTTAAATCTAGCAGTTGGAAGGTACAACTTGTCGTCTATCCATTACGAAGGCTGAAAATGTAGAAATGGCCTGCTGAAGTTCTAGTGGTATAATGGAAGCAAACGAATCTTCTCTATCCACAACTGAACAGAGCTCCAACCGTGTCCTTGGAAGTGATATGGTGCTGTTATTCTATGTTGTACTGGAATGATTGCAAAGCCAAATTCTTAGAGTAGAGTAGAGTAGAGTAGAGTAGAGTAGAGTAGAGTAGAGTAGAGTAGAGTAGAGTAGAGTAGAGTAGATTGCAAAGCAAAATTCTTAGAGTAGAGTAGAGTAATCCCCAAGCACACTTGTTTGTTATTTGTAACATTTTTACCTGTCCTGTTTCTTCTTACACACACTAATTAAAAAAATTACAGAGCAAGTGGCCTCTTTTGCTTTGGTAAATGGATTCTGTATATCAGAATTTTATGGCAATGCTTATAGTGGGTTGCTTTTATGACTGTTTTTATTCATATCATGTGAAATCAATAGTTTTGGTACAATTATGGCTGAAATAAAACAAATGATCTATCTACAGCACAGACATGTATATTTTGTAAGCTCCCAGGCCACCTACATGATGGAACACAATCTCTTGGTAAATATAGCTATTTTAAACACCTCTGGGTCAAATTTTATCAAGAAGGCTAAGGTGTCCCAGGGATTCTCCACTTATTACCACCACCCCCGCCAAACTCTCTCTATTCATTCATGTGGTGGCATCAGCTCACAGAAGCTCTGTGCTCAGTACCTACATTGGTAACCATTGTTAGTTTTGTAGTATTTGAAAGCAGGAATTACTAGATATTGTTTTCTTAAAAAGCAATGTGGATTGTGGACTATACTATTAGATAGGGATGTCAGCCTCCAGGTGGGACTTGGGAATTACAGCTCATCTCTAGACTACAGAGATCAGTTCTCCTGGAGAAAATGGATGTTTTGGAGGGTAGACTCTACAGCGCTGTGGCCCATTGAGGTCCCTGTCCTCCCTAAGTTCCACTCCCAAATCTCCAGGAGTTTCCCAACCTGAATCTGGAAACCCTAGCATAATGGCCTCAGCATTTACAACCCACTTGGCCAGCTCTTGTGTTGAATCTTTGGGAAAGGCTGACATCTTGTGGACAATACAATGTAGCTCAGCCCTTTACCATCTCAGCTTTACTGGTGGTTTTGGTGACTGAAATTTTCCTAGAAATGTACTCACCAGTGAGGCCCCAAATGCTCTGCGATGTCCATGTCCAAATGGCAGCAACTGCATTTTCCTATTCAATAATTAGAGTTCATTCAATTTCTTACCCCAGTTCCATTTCCTGCAATATGATGAACTATCAGCAGAAGGGTTATGCCAGGATATTCAAGGGATGCCAACCAGTACCATAAGCCTTGTGAAATTTCAGCCTGTGATTTGTTTATGTAATAGCCATTTCTGCATTTTCCTAAACAGAAGAACTGCTGACAGAACTGGAATAAGTCTTGAGAATCATGTAGTCTGTATACCCCTTCTAAGTGGTACATGCTATTTTTCTACAGTGGTATCATCTTAACAATAGGATAATTTGGAGGCCATTAATTCATAGGGTTGCCATACATCAAAAGTAATTTGACAGCACTTAACACACACATTAATTCCCCATTCACTGCTATCCTATATTGCCAGGAAAAAAGTTTTCCCAAATTGTCTGGGCTACTTGTTCTAGTGACAGATCATTAAATGACTGATTTGCCTATCTAAAATTCTTTTTTTCTTTTCTTTTTCTGAAGCAGGAACCAATTTCTGCTTTTGTCTTCTCCTGGATTATGTTTAAAATCTCTTTTCATTTTTCTTCAGGGCAGTTTTCTAAATATTAGTTGTTATTAGGGTTGCCAATTCTGAGTTGGGAAATCTCTGGATATTTGGGGGTGTAGTCTGGAGACAGTCTGGGGTTTGGGGAAGGGAGGGACCTCAGTAGGGTATAATCCCATAGAATCCACCCTCCACAGCAGTCCTTTTCTCCAGAGAAATTGATCTCTAGTCTAGAAAATAGTAGTAATTCCAGGAGATCTCCAGTCCCCAACTGGAGGCTGGCAGTCTTAGCTGTCATATCTACACTGGGTCGGGTTTTAGTGTTTAACCTGACCACATTGGCTGTTAATGCCATTGTAACTTGCTAAAGAATATTGGGAAACACTTGCTCATTCTGAAAGCAACATTGGCTGCCAGTTTCTTTCTGGGTACAATTTGAAGTGCTGGTTCTTATGGCTTGGGATCAGGGTATCTTAAGAACCACATGCCCTCATATGAACCTTCCAGTCACTGAAGTGATCAACAGAAGCCATGCTCTATGTGCCCCTCTCAGAAGTAGGGCTGGTACCTACCAGACCCTTAGTCCCTTGATTGTGGAACAGCCTCCTCGCATCCATTTGCCTGCTGCCTATTCTTACAAGATTTAGGTTAACACATGTTTATTTTCACACAAAAAATATTTTGAAAGGTGAATGATGGCTAGCTCTGTTGCCCTTTGTTCCCAGTACTGCTGTTTATGGTTGTGTTGTTGTTTCATTTGTCTTTTGGCTACATCACCACCACCACCACCATTAGTATCATTACAATCTGGAGCCCTCAAAGAATTGGCAGAGGAAGGAACAATTTGGGCATTCATATCTTCACCTCAAGTTTTTTTTAAAGTTTTCGGGTGCTTGAGCAGGTTAATTGTCCTTAACCCCTCCCTTTACTATTTTCTGCATACCTAAGGTGTGTTCCAAATGCGTAGACACCCTTACTAGGGCTGCTATGGATAACTGTTTTGTGTGGGTAGCATTCCAGTTAAATAAGACCCTGTGTGGAAAAGCTCAGTGCTTTTTCCTTGCCATATTTAAATCAAACCTAGTGCTGTGTTCAGAAGAAGAAATAAATAAAAAGTGTTGCTGCCATTTGTGATATAAAGTGATCCTCTGGGGAGAAGTTGCAGTCTTGCATTTATGTTCAAATCACTCAGTCTCTTGGATGACATTAAGAAGGGAACACCAGTTGCTTGTTTCACATTTTCTTTATTGACTGCCACTGACTGAGTTCTCAGATTGTGTGTCAGATATCAGTAGAACAGGTGGAGCTATGTTAGAATTACAGCAAGATTAAGGAAGATGGTGTGATACATGCAGGCCTGGGGAGAGCTTGGAAGGGGCTTGAAGCCTCAGCACTGTGATGGACCTTGGGGGCGGGTCTGCAAAGACAAGGGAGGCGTGCTTGTCCTTGCATCAGTTGCCACTAAGAGATGACACTGCGGTGGATGTAAAGAAATACACTTAAAAAAACCTTTGCTGAAAGAGGTCACAGCCCCGCCCAAGACTTATAGATCATTATTTCTCCTTTTACCAGAAAGAGCTCATGGCACGATCATTGCAAACACCATACACACTTCCTGGGTCTTTTTCTCAGTAATCAGCTTAGCTCTCGTTTGCTTCTGTGTCTGAATTGCTTTAGCAGAGAACAATTCTGTATGGTTGCTTTTGTTGCACCAAACTTAACAACTGAGGCATTGAGAGCTAATGCTGCCTGCTGCTTTGGGTGGGCTTGTAAGATGTTCAAGACCCCTTTTCAGCAAGTACATCAGCTCTGCAGCACACTTCATCTTTCAGGCCATCCTGACATCACAATGTTTTAGGCTTAGAGCTTCCAAGTCCTCTAGATGCTCACCCAGCCTCTCATTCCATCCAAGAGAAAAATTAGAACAAAAAAAAAAGAAAGAAAAAAGAAAAAAAAAGAAACCCTTCTAGATATTCACTGATATCTATGTAATGGCTCTGTGAATGAGGCCTGCAAGAAGTGACAGCCTGGATGCTTCAGCAGCAGCAGGTTCAGCCTAGGAAGAAGGAGCCGAGGTTGGCTTCTCTTCACGGGATACAGGGATGGGTCTCTCACTGTGGCTAAGGTCAGTGTTGGACTGGACCTTGGGGGCAGAGAAGGTCAGCATGCCATCAGCAGACAGAGAGCAGGATATGGCCGACTGGTCCACATTGGAAGGGAAGCGGTACCTGCGGTGGAATTCACGGGAGATGTACCCATGATCATCCTGAGAAGAGACAAGAAGACCAACAGTGTTAAAAGAGTAAAGTGTATGGTATGTGCTTGTGTCTCCAGAAGGCAATCGACAAGCGTAGATCCAATTACCAAGCCAGAAGAACAGATTGCTGAAGTGACTCAACATATTTCAAGCCCTTTTATAGGACAGGACAGGTGCTGTCCTTAAAACATACCTAAAAGATCGTTTTTCACCGCCTTTTTCTGAATAACCTTCACATTCCATCAACTCACTACAAAATTATTTCCTTGAGGTTTTATGGTTATAACACTTTCCTGTTGTTTAAATTCAATCTGCCATCTAGTGGTTTCAGTTCAGCTTGTCCTATCCTTAGTAAATGGGGTGAACAATTTTTACATTGCCTCCTTCTGAGAAAACTTGAGCTAGGAGGACTACAAGAAGGAGTAGTGGTCACCCTTCCAAAATGTTTCCTGATACCTCTTTTGCTACCCACCAAATCTGACCAGATGAGTAGATGGCTGCATGCATCCTAACAAATTAATTGTTAGGAAATCACAGTAGAATAATGGCTGAATGTACAATAAAATCTTCTGACCCTGCAGGTGCTTCAAAATATTTAAAGATGACTCCCTCCTTCTCTTCACCCATCATTCAGCCCATTAAGTAGAAGGAATGAAAGGAATGCAAGAGAAGTCGGACCGTGCCCCCTCCTCTCCAACCAACATAACTGCCTTGCCATAGAGAGTAGGAAATGACTTTGTTCTTTCAGTGTTTTTTACCATGCCTTCCCTCCTCCAAATGAAATATCCTTGAGTTGTCCTTGTTAAGCAGTCACTTCTTTGAAGGTCAAACAACATGATAGACCCAGCACTGGTTGGGTCACACAGGTGAGCACTGGACTCGCAGTGAGATGGACATCAGGAGAAATCACTTTAAAACAGGCTTGTTCACTCATCTCTGTGAGGGGGGGGAAGGAGCTTCTGGTCTCTGTCCCATCCTACTCTTGCCTTTCTGCTGGCAAAAGTGGGGTGGGAGGGAAACCAGTATCTTCTTCTCCCCCCTCAGAGTACTCCCCCACAGGGCCTAACGAACAAGCATTTTTTTTTAAGCCGAGTTCTTCTGATGTTTGACTGGTAGTCTAGTCATGCACCCATGACCTGAGATGTGTCAACTGTATCATGTAGTGTAACTACTGTAAATGGTAATGAAATGCCAAAGTTAATGTTGAAGTCATTGTAGTGTTTGATTTGGATTCATACTGGCATTGTACAACAGGGCTTTTTTTCTGGGGGAATGCGCCAAAACAGAGTTCTGGAACCTCTTTGAAAAAATTATTTTAAAAATGTTTAAAAGTTCATGGGTTTTCAATATACAGATTGAAAACAGATAGAGAACGAAGGCTGAGTGACTTGTCAAAGGCCATCTCAGTTAGAAGATGGAAGAGAGATTTTAAGGTTGTTGTCAAGTCACAGCAGATTTACGGTGACACCATGGGGTTTTCAAGGCATGGGATGTTCAGAGGCAGTTTGCCGTTGCCTGCCTCTGATATTCCTTGGTGGTTTCCCATCCAAACACGAACCAGAGCTGACCCTGCTTAGCTTCTGAGATTGGGCTAGTGTGGGTTATCCAGGTCAGGGCAGAGATCTTAAGCATAAGCTCCAAATTCTACTCTGTCACCCATGGACGTTTTAGCCCTCTTAGTATTTGGCATTCGAAGCTCTTTCATTTAAGATGTGCTAAATTTCCAGTTTTTTCATGATCCTATACTCCACTGTGTTTTATTTACTCTTCATATCCATCCTAGTTTATAAAAGCCCAGGCTTCACAGTTAATTCAAAGTGAGTAAAGCACAGACCATTTCTTGAGGCATCAGAGTACATTCTTTCTATAACCAAAGATAATTACTTAACAGTGTCTACAGTCTGATGAACTACAGAGTACAAAGTGGGTGAGCAGTGATTTAAATAGCTAAACATCATATTAGCATAATATCCCATGTTTGACCTTTCCTGGAGCAGATGCACATTGAATATTTGGTATCTAAATTTTCCTTTCATCTGAACAATTTACTCTTCTCTCGGCACACTCATTTACCTGTCTCTCATTGTGTTTGCCATGGATTTCCACAAAGTCATCGATGACCTTCACGCTCAAATCTTCAGGGGAGAAATGTTTTACATCCAAAAAGATTGTAAACTTGTCCCGGTCAGATCTCACCTGAAATGGAAGTAATGAGAAAAAAGGTCCCATCCAAAAAGCATTAGAATTCAAAATATTGCCAAGACTTGGTGTTTATTTTTTTTAAAATCAAGTACTCCTTGCTGTATTTACTGTATGTGTGTGTAAAGTGCCATCAAGTTGCAGCTGCCTTACAGTGACCCCAGTATCTTGCAAGACAAGTGAGAAGCAGAGGTGTTTTGCCATTGCCATCCTCTGCAGAGGCTTCCTTGGTCATCTCCCTTTCAAGTACTGACCCTGCTTAGCTTCCAAGATCTGATGAGAGCGGGCTGTACCAGGCTGACTTCCCTCCCATATTTACTGTATAGTCTCTGTTAAATTTCTGGGGTTGGCTAAAGGACCAAGATTTGGTCTGAAGCCCAGTGAAGTTACCGAAGTCATTGTACTAACTTCAGTAGCATGGATTATTTTGAAAGGGTTTTTTGTAAAGTAGAACAGTATTCTGAGTCTATGAATTACAGAATGTTTGACAGGAGTGCATTGGTTTACCCACATATATACAAAGCTTTGACAGGCCCCAAGTGTCCTGGATGAGACTTAGAGCAAGAAGGAGAAAGATATTCTAGATAATTGAACCTGGCCCTGGCTTGAACAGAAGGGTTACTTACTCCAGTGAGACAACACAGGTTTAAACCTAATTATTCTGAATTGACAGGTTTGACAATTAGAATGTGAGGTTGTCTCCCTATCTTATTTTTCTTATTAGCTGTTTGAAATGCATTGTGGGGCTTCTTCATTTCACTTAATTTTATTCCATTCCATTTCAGCAAGCTGAATGAATAAATAATAAATAAATAAATAAATTTCAGTACTAGTGTATGATATGATTACAATTATGGCACTTATCTTGTTTGGATTTATTCTACATTTATTTCGTGACGTTTCTTAGATTATATCTTCGGCCCCAGCACCCCAAAGTAGATTTAGGTCCTTTCAGCAGTAGTTGTGACTGCTGTTGCTCTCATGACTGTAAAACCCCACTCACATGGAAACACCACAGTGATCTTGAGTTTTACAGCTGACTTTTAAAAGTTGTTGCAGCTTTTCTTTTGTTAAATTCTTACTAGGTTTCTGAAGTATATCTTTAAAATGTCTGCAAAAGATTTTTAAAAACCTCAAACAGGACAGTATTTCAGATCTGAAGAACAAAATATTATCTTTATAGGCAGCCTTCAGACTGTTGGTGTACCAGTAACAATAAGGTTATTTTTTAAAGCAGAAAAGTTTGCATGATTGTCTCAGTCTGAATTAACTTCTAGCTACACATACACACACACACACACATACTAAAAAAAATTAGCTGAAAATGAATTTACTCTTGCAGAAATTTGTGTTCCTCCAGTCATGAAACATACACCCTTCAGATATCCAGCATGTCTTAACATCGTAATCTGTTCCTTTTTATGAAGCTGCCATCGCATGTCTTAACATCGTAATCTGTTCCTTTTTATGAAGCTGCCATCACAAAATCCTTGAACTACACTTATTTTTGCTAAAGTGATAATGAGTTCCTTCTGGTTTCTAATCTATCTACCCCCATTCAGCAGTTCATTAAACTAATTAGATCATGAAAATATCTGGTGATGGGTGACTATTAAAATAACCCCGCAAAAGAGCTTTAACATATTCAGAAACAAGAATCTTACCTCAGAAACACCTGACTCAAGAACAGTGCGGAAGAGAGACTGCCTGTAGTAAGGGCTGATGGTAGAGGAAAACAAAGGCAGGAGATCATAATCAAAAAGACCTTCTCCAAAAAACTGGTCGAACAAACGGCTTGGAATTAAGGGGCCAAGAGCTCGTTTGAACCAGGGGTGTTGAATGGTAATATCCATGATCTCTGCTGCTGGAAGCTTGGAGGTGGAGAGAAGACAGTGCAGTCGCTGTGATGACAGTGAGGTCTTTGCTGGACTGCACAGTGGAGATCTAGGCAACTCCCCTCTATATATACCAGTTTCACAGAATGAAGGCATTAGTGGGATTTCTCTGGAAAGACATGATCTCATGTTGAATGCCAATCTGGTCAGCAGAAATGTAGGGGCTGACCTGAGAATGACAGTCTGGTTAGAATCAGTGCCAGATACCTCTGAACATCATCTGGCTGGGCTGCAACACAGTCTGTGAAATTGCTGTTCGCCTCCATACAGAGGACAGAAACATTAGCCCTCACCTAGGCAAGCAGTTTCAAATCAAAAGTCACTGCCATGGCCATAGAAATTGTCTACAGATTGATATTTCCTTGCTTTTATTACCTACAAGTTTATAGGACTACCAACCTTGGATCCCCAATAAAAAATACCTGATCGGGCACCCTTCATCCACCCTGATCTGTAGGATTGCTAATTTTAGACCCCAGACAAAGATACCCACTGGGCCACCCTTCACCCTGATCTAACCCAAACATATGCAAAAACAAACAAACAAACCCCACATAACTTGTCCAGCTGCATGGGCCTCCAGTATGGCCACTGAAGTCCCACTGGAATTTTGCCCCCTCCCAGCACCCCCCTCAGGCAGCCATGACTGAAAAGAACATCTCTTGTGTCAGGTCAGGAAGGTTGGTTTTGTGGTGTGTGGGGAAAGAAATAATAAAACATGATACATTTCTTTAAAATTTGAGCTAAATGTCAAAAAACTACTAGGAGAAAAGGCATTGATGTGAACTGTACGCAGTTTAAAAAAATGGAATTCATAGAAAATCATAGAGACTGTGTGGTAAAAAATAGCCCAAAGAAAAACCAACTGCTGTGTCAGTGCTAGAAAATACGTTCTTATACAGCCAAGGCTGTGCTAGATGCCAGAAACGTATGTTGTCTACTCCATCTTGGAATCTACCACAACAGTTCTGAAGCTATGTGCTATTCCTTCTGCTTCCCAGGAGATCTATGCCATCCTAACTCATATTCTGGTTGTGTTGCAGATATTTGTTGGTAGCATAAAATTCTCTCATAAGCGTGTCAGCAGCAGTGATTTACTGCAGGTCAGCAGTGAGCTGAGGTAGATCTAACACAGGCTTGACCATCATCTATATTTCAAAGCTTGTGTAAGCAAATCAGATGTATAATAAACTTTGTACCACAATAGGGACAAATTTTCCTACTGTGCCTTATGATATGTCAAAATAAAGGTTTAACTCAGATGCCTGACTGAACTACGGGTAGCAACTGTGGAATTCAAGCACAGGATAAGAAAACTGCGCAGTGAGATTCATGGTATTGGTAGTGGAGAAACAGTTCCTACATATTTTCACTTTCTTGGCTTTCATATTAGTTCTAAAGCACCAAACAGACACTTAGAAGTTATGTAGATGCCTCCTTTGTGCAACACAAAATTATGTTGCCAGAAATCTAGTGCCAACACTTGTTATGGCAACTTTGTCTCATTTAAGCTGCTCTGATAGGGTTACCAGATGTCCTCTTTTTTTGGTGTCCATCCTCCTTTGGGCTGTTTTTAAAAAACTGATGAAAATGTCCTCTTTTGGGGTTGGAAGGTTAGGAATATTCCTAGTTAGTAGCAATTATCACAGCTTAGACAGTAGTAGGGATGCCAGATCCCCTGGTGGGGGCGGGGGTCTTCTGTTGCCAGGTCCCACCTCTCTGCTGCCAGCTAGCTGGCCATCAGGAAGGAGTTAACTCCCCCAAAAGGAAGGAACACCTGGCATTTCAACAACATGTCTACGTGACCTGGAAGTTGGGACACCACTCTGGTTTTTGGGCAAAAACTCTGTGGTAGAAGCTCATTCTACCATAGAGTTTTGCCCAAAAACCAGTGTGTCGCCCCTGACATCCCTGACATGCCTGCATCACTTCCAGGTCATGTAGGCACATTGCTGAAATGCCAGGCATTCCTCCACCCTTCCCCCGCCGGCTGCTTGGAGGGACCTAGCAACCCTAAATAGTAGAGGTATTTAAAATGAGATTTTTCATAGTGATCACAAGTTTGAAGTGGTCAGAAGGAAAATATGTCCTCTTTTTTGCTTTTCAAAATATAGTAACCTTATGCTCTGACCTTGTATCATTCCTCATCTCTCCCCCACCACCACCACCTTTCATCATTCCTCTAATGCACCCCCCCACCACCTTTCATCATTCCTCTAATGCAAACAATTATATGTATACCCATATGAGCTGCTTTGTCTTCCTGGAATTTTGTTAGGTTCAAGTCCAGTAGCATCTTAGAGACCGACAAGATTTTCAGGCTATATGATTTTGAAAGAGGGGAAAGACCCTGCAAAACCTCCCTTTCTCAGAATCTATTGTGATTGTTTCTTCCAAGGGCGTGCCCTGTGGTACATCCCAGATAAATATACCAGGTCTAGTCTGCGTTGTCCATAATTGGGAAACTGTGCTGCAGTGTTGTCATGGAATTAGAGAGACCTTATACAACTGTTGAAAACAGCTTATGATGCCGCACTGTTAAAAATATAATCCATTGCATTTATTTATTTCAATATTGTATACTACTTTCATCATTTCATGGAGGTTCAAAAGTATTTTACTAATCCCCCTATGTCAATTCCTGTGGTAGTAGAATGAAACACTACATTTGAGTCAAAACTAAATAAAAATTGGTGGGAACCCAACTACATCAGTACATTTGAGAAGTCTCCTAGATCACAATGAAACCTACATTTCCATTGCAGAAATATATTATATCAAGATCATAAACGTACATACTTGCTGTCAAGTTGCAACTGACTTATGGCAACCCCAGCAGGGGCTTTCAAGGCCAGTAAGAAGCTGAGGTGGTTTGCCATTGCCTTCCTCTGCAGTCTTCCTTGCTGGTCTCCCATCCAAGTACTGACCATGCTTAGATTGGACAAGAGTGGTCTATACCATTCTACCTTCTTTACCAAGGTCATAAAGCCCTGTCTTTTACCAAATCAGACCCCTGGTCAATCCAGCTCAGCACTGTCTTCTGTAGTAAATCTCCATGATCTCAGATAGAAAGACGTGTTTCCTAACATCTGCTACCTGAGATCCTTTAACTGGAGAAGCCAGGAACTGAATCTGGGACAGGCACTCCACCACTAACAGTGCAATCCTAAAACTACTTTTCTGGGAGTAAGCTTCATTTAATAGAGCTGCGTAGGATTCTGCTCTCTGGCTACGGCCAAGTTTCAGGATGCTTATTTTCTTTTTATTTGTTAAAACTGTCCTCTTCTGCTGTTTCAGGGAACTCATATATTAAGGCTATACGGATTTGTACTGTGCATACTGAATATTCACATTGTTTTATTCATATAACAAGGATGTGGATAAAGATGATCAAGTATATTAGAGTACTGGGTGCAGTTGTGGTCACTATATCAAAAAGGATGTCACAGAGCTGGGAAAAGCACCGAGGACGATTAAGGGGCTGGAGCACCATTCCTATAAGGAAAGGCTGAAGAGTCTGGGAGTTTTCAGCCTAGAAAAGAGGATATGACAGAGGTTTATAAAATTACACATGGGGCAGAGAGACTGGACGGAGTTTTTTCTCCCTCTCCCATAATACTGGAACTTGAGGGAACTCAATGAAGTTGATGGGCAATACATTCGGTTATGAAAAAAAAGAAATACTTCTTTACTCAATGGGTGCGTTGCCAGTTGATGTAGTGATGATGCCCATGAGCATGTGTGGCCTTAAAAGGGGATTAGACAGATTTATGGAGTGCAGGTCCATCAAATGTACTAGCCATGGTCACTAAATACAACCTCTACATTCAGAGGCAGTAAGAGGGTTTATTTATTCCAAAAAGGTCTTCTTAGTGCCCGTTTTCAGTATTTAAAAATGACATTGAGGATTAATGGGACCATAGTCTAAACAGGACCCCATCATTATTTAATTATGAAAAATATGGAGCTGGAAAAGGGATCCTCTTGTAGCCAATGTAGTTTCTTATTATCTTGGCCATTTCTGGTTTTCAAAGTGTATGATAAATTTTAAAAATCCTCAATCTCAATTATATTTTCAACAATTCCTATAATTCTTGGATATTGCCATCAAATCACAGCTGACTTATGGCGTGTCTGTATGGTTTTTAAGGCAAGAAACATTCAGAGGTGGTGAAATACTTCTTTACTCAATAAGTAATTAAATTGTGGAATTCACTGCCAGTTGATGTAGTGATGATGCCCATGAGCATGTGTGGCCTTAAAAGGGGATTAGACAGATTTATGGAGGGCAGGTCCATCAAATGTACTAGCCATGGTCACTAAATACAACCTCTACATTCAGAGGCAGTAAGAGGGTTTATTTATTCCAAAAAGTTATTCTTAGTGCCCGTTTTCAGTATTTAAAAATGACATTGAGGATTAATGGGACCATAGTCTAAACGGGACCACATCATTATTTTAATTATGAAAAATATGGAGCTGGCAAAGAGATCCTCTTGTTTGTAGTCAATGTAGTTTCTTATTATCTTAGCCATTTCTGGTTTTCAAAGTGTATGATAAATTTTAAAAGTCCTCTATCTCAATTATATTTTCAACAATTCTTATAATTCTTGGATATTGCCATCAAATCACAGCTGACGTATGGTGTGTCTGTATGGTTTTTAAGGCAAGAAACATTCAGAGGTGGTTTGCCACTGCCTGCCTCTGCTTCACAACCCTGGTATTCTTCGGAGATCTCCCATACAAATACTAGCCAGGGCCAACCCTGCATAACTTTCAAGATCTGGCAAGATCAGGCTAGCCTAGGCTATCCAGGTCAGGGTGGTAGTTATTAATTCTTAGAAATTCATCTCTATATGATGGAAAAATACAACTACATGAAATGTTTCCTTTGAAAATCAACAGACTCCTACCAGGGTTGTTTCTCTGGTCTACAATGGGGGCATATTTACACATAA